GCTGTTGCTGCTGCGACGGCGGGTGCCGGCGGCGGCAAACAGCGCCAGGCCGACCAGCGCATAGCTGCTCGGCTCGGGAATCACCGCAATGTTGTCCAGGCCGAACTTGGCCAGGTTGAAGCTCTCGCCGGCCTTGCAGGTGCCGCCGTCCCAGAGGCAGGCCGTAAAGGACACCTCGCTGAAGTTCATGTCGGAAAAGGCCGTGCTGAAGTCGAAGTGGGCGAAGGCGGTGCTGCCGTCGCCGAGGATGCCGTCGAGGTCGAAGGTCTCGGTCAGCGAACCGCTGGCGCTGTTGCCCTGCACGATCAGTTGGCCGATGTTCAGGCCCACCAGGCTGGCGTCGAAAAATTCGGCGATGAAGCCGGCGTCGAAACCCGCCAGGCGGAAGCTGCCGCCGCCGCTGCGCTGCATGAGCACGCTGCCGTCGTTGAGCACGCCGTAATAGCTGGAGCTGCTGTTCGGGCAGATCGACACGGCGCACGCCGCGGAGGACGCCGGGGCCAGGCCGTCGATGGTGGCGCCGACGAAGCCCGCGCCGTTGGGATCGATCGCCGTGAACTGGAAGTCAGAGTCGGCGAAGACGTCGCCGCCGAAATAGATCGCGCCCGCGTTGGCCGGGTTCTCGAAGCCGACGGCGATGGTGGCCGGGCCTGCCCAGACGCTGCCGCAGAGGACGGCACTCGCCAAGGCCAGCGCGGCTTTGCTCAGATGCTTTTGCATATCAACTTTCGTGAGTTGTGATCATGGGATTGGCCCTGTTTGGCCGTCCGTTGAAGGCCGTATCGCTCCCCGCTCGATCGACAACCGGGAGCCCGCCAACACCGTCTCGAATCATGCGAACCGCACAACATGTGACTTTTCGCACAACCAGGCGGCCGATTCTGTCCACGCCGATGAGGCCTGACATAGCGATTTCCCCGCACATCCATTCGAGGGGTGCTGCGAGCCCTCGCTTGGCAGGTTCACAGGCGCTTCAATCGCGGCGTCGCAACGGCTTCGAGATCGATTCTGTGGAAGCGCCCCGGTTTCGATATGCCGGGTTTCCCACCCCATGAATTTGGGACAGGAAACGCCCAGGTTGCGAAGGTCTTTCGCCTCAGGGTGCGGAAGCCGCCGAGGCCGCAGGCGCCGGTGCGCCCATCGCAGGCGCGAGGAAGAGCCAGTCGTTGGCGAGCTTCAACGGCATGCCGTCATCGGTCTGCGTACGCAGCAGCGGTTGTTCAGAGCGGCTGCGCACGCCCACGAAGCCCGCCGCGCCGGACGCGGCGCCGAGGGGCGGCAGCAGCTC